GGGAATTTGAACCCGAACTGTCAAGTCTTCCTAGTGGAGTACACTTGTTTTACGAAAAAAAGAGTGACCATCAAATCCGGCACAATTTTGGCCCAGCGAGGGGTTGGGGGTAGAATTTGAACGATCCAATCTTCAAAAGTTCTAATGCTTAGGGGTTTCTCGGGGGGGATGTTGAAGCTTCGAATTGATCGACGCATAACTTCGGGAATCGAATCTGAGCAACAGAGGTGTGTGGCGGGCAATTGATAGCACTGGCAAATTAAAATTCGCCTCAGCTTCAGGAAAAGCTTGATCTACGCGGAAGACTAATCTGCTAAAGAAACAAAGGTGTGTTAAACATGGGAATTGTGTATGATATCAGTAATGATCTGGGCAAATTGCACAACAAAGAAGAACAAAGTGATTTGTCCTTTGCGCCCACCAAGAAGAAAGAAGAACGGTGAGTTCCTTTCAAAACCTTTCTTATACCCCATTCACACCAGCAAAACATGTTTTGTTAAACTGGTTTTCATTGAATGAAAATTATAAACAGAGAACTGAAAAACTTGATTTTCCATAGGATTCAAGTACTCAGTGCTAACTTGCATTTCCGATGTGCTACATTCAAGTCAAAAATATTCGGTTAAATAGTTTCTATGAAGAAAAAAAAAATTAAACTGTGTTTAACAAAACAACTTTTAAACATGTTTAAGCTTTGTTGTGAATGGGGCATTATTCAGTTTTGAGATCTGGAATCTCAATAAGTCAAATGAAATCAGATTAGCCGACGAACAAGAGATCTATATACTTTACATGCAGTTATGAAATCGCTGAAACCTCTCATATCAAGTGGTTGGATCAATTTTGCAATAACAATGATCTTTGCTCTTCAGAAGGGTGCGACAGGAAGTACGACATAAATGGGCCGGTAACGGTTCATGACTGTTCGCTGGAGACATCGGTATTCATATGTAAAATCGTGGTTTAGCTCAAAAGATTTGGCTCTCATACGTCGGAAATGAACAAGGACGATTTCCACCAATAAATGGCGAGCATAATAACAACATGAATGTGATTACATAATTTTTTTTTATTGGAAAGCCATCAGGAGTGTAGAGTACCCAGAGCAGTCCAGGTTGAATCGAAACAGAGAGCCAAAATATCAAGTGTTTTCAAAGTCCAAGCAAGGCAAAGACTGTTCGCCTGAGTGAGCGAAGGGAGATATCACGGCTGAGGAATAATTCGTCATCTCCGCTCAATCTGATAGCGAGTGTATGCAGCTGCAGTTAATTATAATTACTGCGAAACCGAAACTGTTTGCCCAGATCAAACACAACAATGACGAAAACAAAGTTTGCCTCAAGAGACAGACATTTTGCATTAATACACTTCGAGTTGGGTTTAAGTTTGTGAGGAACATGTTTTAAAGCATGTACATTTTCCAAATCAACCAATCTGTAAGATAAATCCTCTGTTTTCTCTTTCAGAGTTCAATGGCTAACTTTGTGCTGTTAAGTGACGACTGAAGTCGTCTAAGTATTCACTTTTACTGATCGAAGTCTGCAGCATTCTCGGTTCATATCGAAAGAAATTTGTACAACATCTGACTCATCTGACTGTGAAACTAACATACTATAGTCCGCTTGCTTTCCAATTGAGTCCCACCACCAGCTGCAAAACGTTACACATATCAAAACGCTGATTAGCAAAAGGTAGCGGTGTTTAGTTCAACATACCTTGCCCATTTCTCAAAGGCATCACTGCAACCCACTCTGACGATTTATTCGCGCAGGAATTGTAAAGTCACATCCGAAATGTACTGATGCTATGCTACAGCAGAAGCGATCACGTTGCGTAAAAATGACGTTCCCTATGATGAGCTAATTACGAAGCCTGTCAGCAAAACACAATGATGAAATATTTCAAGTATGTGAATAGCCCTTGGATTATCGGCTATCTCGCAGGAGAAAGTTCAGTTTAATTTAGAAGGGTTAAAACTGCATTAAAAAATGCGATCGCTTGTATTGCGTTCAGCCAAGACCAATGGAAGATTTTTTCTGACTTAGTTAAAGACGACCGAAAGAACTATCTCAAGTATCACAGGCAAGATTGGATTTTGTGAATATTCAAAAATAAAGAGCAAAACGAAGCTTAGTAACTTTGCTACAGCTGACAGTGTTTTCGTGTGCGGCGGTTTTTGCCATTGAGCAGGCGATTCACTTTTTTGAAGGCTGCGCCAAGCATGAATGTATCTGCCATTCGAAGAAGCTTAAGATTATCGCTGATTCCATGGTGCACGCCGCTTCTTAGTTCAGTTATCCGAGTTTAGTCCAGTATTTCACTCAACTTTTTTCACTAATTTAATAAGCAGTCGTTATTATGAGTCATGCCAAACCTTTCAAAAATAGACTTTTCCTGTGTAATTAAAAGCTGTATCTTGAGCTTTAGTGTATTTAAGGAACGAGCGAAATGAGATTACTGACAGTATCACTAAAAAAAATAACAATAACTGTAATAAATAAATTAGGAAGCCGTCAATTAAGGTTACAATCAACTAATTAGCTGATAATTGGAAGATTGCGAGACTATTGAAATATCTGTCAGTTGTAAGTTACACAGGTATTCTCATCATTAACAGGGTGATGGTTGCATGCAATCTGCTATGTTTACTGCGCGTATTAGCTGTAATTTGTTTACAGACTATAGCGACGTGTGGGTCTCAGTGCTGCTACAAAATCAGTTTGACTTTTCACCCAGACTTATTTAAAGGGTTTTTGCAAAGTTTTTGATTAGTAGGTCGGCTACTTTTTGGCTTTAGATGATCACTTGTTTAAGCCTTCTCCGTCATTAATAAGGCGGTTCTCCTCGTAAACATAAACTTTACTCCTAATAGTACAGGTCATTCTCACAATAATCCAGTGTCTCACTGAAACACAGATTGAAGAGTGTGGGCGACGATTGCTTGTAACCTGAACTAGATTTGTCTTGCACCTTTTTCACATTTCCAAATGTTAAAAGATAAATTTTACCACATTATATTGTCCCAAAGAAGAGAAAGAAGACGAGGAAAACCGGAATAAATGTGCCAGTGGAAGCGGTGGGGAAAATTAGCGATAAAAACAACAAAACATCAACAACCACCGTGACAACACCAGATTACGTGTTATAGACTGCTGCTACAATAAAACAGGTTTGACTTTTTACCCATACGGTCATTTAAACAACAAACCACACTCTCTGACGGTTTATCGCCGGCGTATTAAACTACGCGGGATGTTGGAAGAACACGAGAAACGTTTGTAAACTATACCAGCTGGAGGCGGGTGGTTTACGTGACGTTCAAGGTGTCCTCTTCATTTCCTCCAAACCAAAGGCTTTCGGTAAACAGATAAATAAAAAAAGCCGTGAATTCGTTCCGTGTGGCACCATTCCTCAAAACAGGAAGATATTTTAGTATTCTATACCGGTGCAATCACTGATATAGACTCGTGACCAATCGTAGGGCACGTTGTGTCTAAGCAGGGGCCGATTGTGCATTACATGGTCTAAGTTATATTTTAAACATATTTAGGTGTTTTGAATAGAATTTTGCCCAATAATTCAGCCACTATGAGCTGTAAATGATCTTTTGTTTGGTCAAGTGTGCTCCTTTAGTTCCAATTTAATATTTAAACCAGTTTATTCGCGTCTATAGCGGCTGCTTATTGCTGTTACTCCGTGAAGTGGAAAAAAAACCGCTGGATACGAAATGGCAGACTCTCGGATTTCGTGATCCGATACGCTCTGATGAGTCATTTCATATATTACGTAACTTATGCCGAAAGTAATGTGTGTATGGTCGTGAAGAATATTGCGTTTTGTTTTACTCTCTTTTGAAAGAAGTTTTCTTTTTTAGTTTGCGAGTAACTTATCAAAATATTTTTAATACAACAGAAAATACGGAACAACAGTCAGAGTATGTAAAAATGTGGAAATGTGGAAATAAAACGTTAAGTCCAGACAAGCCAAGAAATAATAAACAACAAGTCTGATATTTTGTCTTACATGAATGGCTTTGTTTGCCTGAGGAAGGATTCCTGGACGTTGTCTTCTTCATCTCTTTAATAAAAATAATAATAATAATAATAATTAAAAAAAAAACGAAATACAGAAGATGTGAGTTTTAACTGCCTTTAAGTTTATATTTAGGATAATGCACATTCAAGCATAGATTAGATTTAAATTTCCAGCTAAGTTGTCATACGCACACTGAAAAATTTAACGTTGAATTGACAGTTATTGATAAACTCACCATGGCTCTCTCATAAACTAGTAGATTTTGCATGCAGTCCCCGTCGATGGAACTTCTGCGTTGTGCCCGAGTTGTTCAGTCATTCAAGCATGTGGAGTTTTTCCGGTTAGTCAAACGTCTCTAACTCTCTTCATGATGCACGAGTGATTAAAATGAGCAGATAACTTTTACATTACAAATTATACTACCAAGTATATATGAGATAAATGCTTTATTACTATTTGAAAAGAGAAGAGGGCAAATATATCAAACGGGTATAACGACAAAAACCTTGGAAAAAAAATAGAGGTTGATGAAAATTGGATTGAACATCATAATCTCTGCGGCGGAAACTTATACGAGCAGTAAAATAAGGTTCATGTCGATACACAATCTGTTCTGCGCAACTTTTTGCCAAGAAAGATTTGTGTTACCGAAATCGAATTTCGGAGTGGAGGTTATAGAAAAAGAAACGAGAAGGATTTTATCGAGCGATCATAATCGACTTGAGAGGCCTTCGACAAATGCGAAAGCTGCAAGTAATTTGCTTTTGTTTTGTCTTACCTCAACCAGTTTCGAATAACTTTACTGGGCCATACGACAGTGTTCACTCGAAGACGATATTCGCAGTGTTTCAGTTTCCATCAGAGTGCGACTTGTGATCCGAGTTATCTGTAGTAAGTAAAAGCGTATTTGACAGTTTTCAATACGGCAGGTCGAATTGCCAAATTTAGAAGTTATCATGATAAGCTCTGACTGTTTCTGCTGGCGAGATAACATGAAAAAAATGTCATTGAGTTTACCGGCTATTGTACGATCGCCTTGCACCAATAAAAGTCCACTACACGCAGTTGAAAAGACACCCGTCGCGTTATTTACAACGCAATATAAGCTGGGGTATTAGCTAATGTCTAAGTATCATTGTTTGGAATTACACAGCGTTTACTTCAAAGAAAGAATGCCCAAAACATAACGTCCTGACTTTGTTTTAACCTTTCTATACTATATAAGTATATGTACTGAAAACGTCATTTACATATTTAAACGCGTTCACTTCGACCACATGAGTCAAGCGTAACTGAGTTGTAAACTGAACTTATATGGAGAGTCAGGAATCTCAACGCGGTAATCAAACTAACGGTTAAACTTCGTCGATTTCTACGCCGAACGGCTAAATTTTCAGGTCGTCTTACGTCTAACTGTTAATCCCATTGAGACCCTCGTTTAAGTCTGAGCAACTAACCGGGGGTTGAAATGAGCTCTGAGAAGGGCTCAAAATATATTTATGCCCACGAACATAAAGTCAACTACTATAATTATCACTTTGGAGGGCTCTGAGAAATTAAAAACTGAGAAAGTGTCAAGAAAACAGTCTGAACAAGCAAGCAAGCGTACGTGGGGGCTAAAATACATTTTTTTAGTCCGCCAAAATCTCCACTTTAGCCCGCAAATGCACCACAATTTCCGTCAAAATAATATTTTTTTGCCTCAAGCTACGTGATTAGTGAAAGCCATGACCTACTTCGTATATAATAATCAGAAACTCAACTGTAGCTCAAAATTTTAATTTTTTTGCTTGCTTTTTTTGTTTTTGTTTGTTTCTGCATTTTTTTCTCCGTGCAAAATCAAGTTATTTGATTAAAATGTACTAACTTGTATTTCAAAGATAATCGGTCGATTTATTACTTTTCAAATTACAATCTGAAATTTCTATTTTCGAGATAGTTTTTTCGCTTTGTGTGGAGAACTCGTCTGGCTTCGGCGCGGCGATTTAAAATCACTTTTCTCCGGATTTATCTTCATCGTAAAAAGTGCTGTGGGAGACGGCTGACCGACAAAATTGCGGTCACCAGAAAATAACATGCATTGAACAGAAAGCATGCTTGAATTCAATAAATATCGACGGCATTACAAAAGCATTTCGAGATGTATTTGAAACTGGGTTGAAAATTCATACAAACCGTGAATATCATCATTCAAAGATGGCTACGATCACGATGAGAGCTCTTTTTTGGGATTGGTGAAGTAATTATTGAATTTCAATAAATCAACTTATCACGTCGTTGTTTAGTAAGGGGAATAGGGAAATGAGATCAAGTTCAATGGAAATTTGGTATCATTATTTCTTTTTACAGCAGAGGAAAGGACAAGAAACTTTCCTCTCTTTCTGCCGTGAATGCTGACTGAAGATCAGCATTTTCGTTGACGCACGTTAACCATTTAACCCCCAAGAGTAACCTCTTATTTCTTCTTACAAAATCATCCCCGAGCATTAAGGTAACGAGAAGAAAGGAAATGATCACCAATTAAAGAGATTCTTGATTGTTAAACTAGTTCTCCCTATTAGCATCTTTGGTAATGTATAGAGAACAGAATGGAGAATATGCATATGAAGCCGGGTAAATAAAATAGAAGCAGACATAAAGATAAATAATCCTGGTGTGAATCCATCAATCAATATCTCAGGTCTGTCTGTTGAATGAACATCCTTAAATGCAAATTGATTTAAATACAGACCTAAGGTGACAATCTGACAACAATGGATCAGAGAAATAATTTGTGGGAATACATGACGTAACAATGCATAATAAAAACAAATCTTATTGACCTAGCGATAAATCCTTAACAGGAAAACAATTTGATTTAATCCCAGCAAGAAGTAAGTTTCTAACGAAATTATCAGGTAAGTCAGAATGATCGGAAAGATATCTACTGCAGCATCCCCCATTCAGTTCTGAGAACATTTGCCGCTTTACCCTGAAGTTTTGGAATTACGGTAACCCATATCACCACCTACAATGACCCCAATGTTAGTGATACGTGCAAAATCTCGGTCACAGTAAAACAGAGCGACTGCAAATCAATTTTCTTTTTGCCGTTTTTTTGTGATTACGAGACTTTTAGGTTTGGCATATACAGAGTGTAAGCGATCTGCAAATGTTTCAATCGCAAAGAGGGCTTTTAAAGAGCTCTTTCTTTTGAACTCGGGAGAAAATGCTCATGATTCGAATGACGTTATATTCAAATGTTTGTATATACTTTTGTATACAAATTTCATTTTTTAATAAGTCATGACCCCCGAAATCCATGATTGTTAAAGATTTTGTAACAATTGAGGTTTTTGAAACATTTCCAGACCTAACTGCTTAGTGTTCTGTCACTCTCTGAGATGCTAGCAACGCTGTCTTGCATAATCTCTCAGAGTCCTGCCTGAACATGTTCCTGCCATACATCACGCACCAGTTCATGCTCATTATATCCATTGACTGACTCGTACCTAATTACCGTAGAATTTCAATAGTAATGTCGAGTTTAGGGTAAACTGCAGTTTATCGTATCTCTAGTTAGTACTTGTTCTGTGATTGGCCAACTTAACGGATCGTATATCACCGTACGGTGGGCTAAATTTCAATTGCATAGTTGAAAATATTGTAATTTTTATCATTCACTATCAAAGTATTTAATTTGCGTGGATCGCAATCGTGGAGTTGCTAGCAACGCTGTCCTGCATAATCTCTCAGAGTCCTGCCTGAACATGTTCCTGCCATACATCACGCACCAGTTCATGTTCATTATATCCATTGACTGACACGTACCTAATTACCATAGAATTTTAATAGTAATGTCGAGTTTAGGGTAAACTGCAGTTTATCGTATCTCTAGTTAGTACTTGTTCTGTGATTGGCCAACTTAACGGATCGTATATCACCGTACGGTGGGCTAAATTTCAATTGTATAGTTGAAAATATTGTAATTTTATCATTCACTATCGAAGTATTTAATTTGCGTGGATCGGTAATAATAAAAAAAGCATTAACATTCTGTTGTGTGGCTGAAGCACCATGGCGATTTTTTCAATGCGATTTCAACGGCGATCGTAGCGTCTAAATACCCAGGAGCCAGGCTTTGTCTTAAGTAGACGGCAGTCAAAAGTGTTCACGAAGTGAATTTCCACTGAAAGGTTCTTTCGGAGACGCAATCGTGAGGATTGAATGGCTTTGTTTTTCTTACGATTCAGAGGACGATGCTAACGATCTAGTATAAGCTCTATCGACGTAATTGCAGCTTGTTTTGGTTGCTGATAGCTCACAGTATGAGCTCGGTATTGACACAATTCTCTGAGAAGGCGGAACATGATTTTAACCTTTAGGAGACAAAGCTCGGTGTGTGACCTCGACGAAATACCCCACTTCAAACAAATAGGATAATTATGTTTAACGATTGGGGTGGTTTCCTGAAAAATAGCACGCTTAGAAATGTTTTCAGGAGGGCACCGCAAAGATTCTTAAGATTCCGACCAAGGTGCTTAAGGTACTAGGACAAACTATAACTCGTGACCATATATATATATGTCACAGCACTATTTTATCAACACATGATTTATCTAGTGAATTATGTCTTCTTGAGGAGATTGACTTATTGTCAAGATGTTACGAAAAAAGCTTCCAACATGGAGACGCTACCTCACAGTTGAGCCCGTGATATTTTTCTACGCGTATGGTCTGATGATGAGCTTCCCGATTTTAGGACAGTATGTGTACAGCGTCATCAGCAAGTTAAAGGGTTTCCCCTACGAACAGTTGCTGTTACAAAAAGAGGGCCTCGGATGTCAAGTACACTTCGCTGGTGCAAACAATACTTTGGGGGATATAGAGAAAGAGGTAAGATGTCAAAAGACTGACTGCCAATTATAGGGTGTGATCATGAGAATACCACATAGCATTATGGGAGGATAATATCCCCCTGTCATAGTGGGATAGTCTAGACCATTACAAATAATGTAAAAATGGAGCGTCCCAAATCAACATTTGATTCTCTTTTAAAACTTCCATTCCTCAGGTACAAAGTTTGGCAACTAAAATCATCACAGGAAACACATTCTTCTCGACCATTCCTGCGCTCATCGTGGCACCATTTTGGGGTCCCTGGACTGACAAATCACGGCGGAGAAAACCCGCGCTCCTCGCTCCTGCCATTGGTGCATTTCTTGGCAATGTGGTCATGCTCATGGTCATGTACTTTGAATGGCCGCTGTACGTGATGTTTATCGGCTCGGCGCTTGCTGGACTCTCTGGTTTTCTACCGACCCTCTCCTTAGCAGTAATGGCGTATATTGCTGATACCACTGAAAAGAACGAAGTTGCTTTTAGGCTTGGTAAGGAAAATGTACATGAGTGATACTTGGCGGTTGAGGGGGGCGTAGCACATTTATTTTCTATAAACGACCTGAAGCGCATCTAGCATGGCAAACTCCTCATATGTCGAAGGGTTGTATTATGCGTAGTATGCAGATCCCCGCAGATCCCGGGGAAAATATGACGTCAAATTAAACAGAAGGGTTCCTTAGAGTTGTTGACTGGTGAATAGATCATTATAACATTTACCATAACTGAAAGTAAACAGCTTCATATGGTTACCTATTTATAAACTTAAATCCAAAGCAAAATACAATCATACGAGTTAAGTTTGGTTTGGATTGTAGTCGCATGCACTCTTTAGAGCTACAATACATTCTATGGTATATTTAACATGTGCTCTTATTTTGCAGCCATCATGCAGATGCTTGTCTTCATGATAGGTGTCGTGAGCCAGTTAACCAGTGGTTTTTGGATCCATAGATTCGGCTTTATCGTGCCAACGTGGTTCAGCCTGGGATGTTATTTAATATGTGGCCTCTGGGTTATCTTCCTAGTTCCGGAAAGCCACGAGAAAGCCACCCACGAGAAACACAATTTCTTCGATATCAAGAGCTTAAAGGTTCTTGTTAACATATTTAGAAAACAAAGGGAAGTCGGAAGGAAAAGTTTGCTTCTACTCGTTTTCGTTGTAGCCATTCTCACCCTAACGACAATGGGCCTTGAAGGTGTAACTAATCTTTTCGTCATGAGAAGCCCCCTCTGTTTTGGTCCTAAACTCGTTGGGTACTTTTTGGCATGTAGAATGTTCTTCGATGGATTGGGAGGAGCCGTTGGTGTCAAGTTGCTCGGAAAGTTTTTCAGCGAGTTAACTACATGCGGGATATCAGTTGTCAGTCAGATTGTTGAGATGGTTTTCCTGGCGTTCGCAACTCGCACCTGGTTGGTTTTTGCTGGTGAGTATAATGAGTGAAAGAGGAAAATCAGCGCGTTGGGCTCTGGATCGGAATATCTGGGTCCAAGGCCTGGCAGGTCACTGTGTTCTTTTCCTGGGAAAAGCACTTTGCCCTCGCAGTGTCTCTTTCCACCGAGGGATAAACGGTGCGAATTGCTGGGTAGTAGTCTTGCGATGAATACGCATCTCAGCTAGAGATAATAAGCATACTCCTGGTCATTTCATGCTGCTGAAACTGAGATGAGCTCCGGAGGGGCTCGTGAACTTTTCGATAGGTTAAACCTGGAAAAAGCTGAGAGTTCGTCGAAAATTGTCGCTCTTCAAAGCTTAGTGGCTCTTTAATATACGTGGGGATTAAGTCCTTTGCTAAAAAATCAACCCTTTAATTCCCATGAGTGACTGAGAAAGAATTTCTCCTTACAATATTAATACACACAAGCACACAAGTGATGAGAACAAAGAGGAAAACTCAATTAGGGAACTACAGGTTGATCCAATACCAAATTCTCCAAATTGACATCATAAGTATTTTATGGCAAACAGTAAGGATAATTACTAATGAGATATTGAGAGTGAAACGGTTGTCCCCAAGCAGGTTTGCGTCACATATTCCTTGAATGTTACCTTTTTTCACGGGCATTTTCTACCGATCCCAATGCTTTATGAATACTTTCTTGTTAAAATTCACCAATCCTAAGCAAGGTTTGGGATGAGAATTGGATGTACTGACGTTTATAGTAACCATGAGGCCTATTGCTGCCAGTGAGAGGACGTCCAGTGACGCTGTTCCTTTCCTGTTTTAAATTCTCTCTCTTTCTATTAGAGTTGAAAAGAAAGACACATTACTGGCCTTCTTCAGAGTAAGTGTCACACCATCACTACGAATAGGTATTTGAAGTTATTGAACTCCTCTTTCCTTTCAGCACCAATACTGGGCTGCTTTAAAGCATCTGCCTACCCCATTATTACGAGTATTTTGTCACGGATAGTTGGTGATGATGAGCAAGGTATGTACGGCTGTAAATCAACAAAGACAACTTTAAAAGAGACGAACCAGCCAGGGTTCACTGCTAGTGCGATAATGACAAAAACCAGAGTGATGTGATCAACCACAGAAAGAGATAAATATGGACAGACGGACAAACGGATAGACAGTTAGACAGACAGATAGATAGACAGACAGACAAACATATAGAGAGACAGATAGATAGACAGACAGACGGACAAACAGACAGATAGATAAACAGACAGATGGACAGGTAGACAGACAGACAGATAGACAGATTAAAAGGTGGACAGTGAGACAGCTGATAGATAGACAGACATACAGTCAGACAGATAGACTGAGAGACGAAAGGAGAGTCGGACAAACGGATAGACGGACAGAAAGACAGATAGACAGACAGACGAACGGACAGATAGACAGACAGACGAAAAAGGAAAGAAAGACAGAAAGAAAGACAGACAGAAGGACAGGCAGAGTGACAGACAGGAATAGGCAAACAATAGACCAATTAACAGGAAAGAAAGACGAATGGAAAGACAAAGTAGAATTTAGCTTACAATAGTGCTCAGAAAGTCAAACAACTGCAAGCAAAAATGTCAACGAAACTTAGTTTAAGACCAGAGATTTGGTCAACCGTTCCTTGTGAATCCACTTTTCACTGATCAATCCATTCTTACCTGATAAAACATTTAAAACCTTACAGCTTATCTCTTTGTCATAGCTTCCTTGTTTTGTACCATTGGCATCATTAATATCTTCTCCCTAAACCTGGGCATGATGTTCTTCAACAGCGTATACGAACGCACTCTCCACCTAACATTCGGAGGTTTCGTGTTCCTTCTATGCGCCGCCATAAAGTTAATTCCTTTCTGTGTCTTCAGGTAGGTAAACATTTCTTCGTAGTCGCAAGAGATTTCGTTTAGTAATTTGAAGCTAGTGAATGCGATGAACAGTAGATGATAAGTCATTTGAGGTTACGAAAAAAGATAGAATCCAATGTTTCAAAAATCTTTTAAAAAGCTATCAGCAATTGTCCGGGCATGTTATCATCCATTCATTCTTTATCAGAACTGTGCAGCTTAACCCTTGCGCATGAACCGATTGGCTCATATCGCTCGAACATGACTGGTTTCCTCAGTATGAAGTGAACAAGGGTTTTTGTCATTTTACCCTACATAATATTTGTCATGTTTTCCCGTGAGTTCCTTGTTGTGGGCTCGGGCAGAAACCAAACCACTTAATCCGGAATCCATCGTATTAACCAGTGAACCAATGCATGTGCCTCGTTATTAAAGAAAAAAATTCATTGTTTATCTACAGATAAATAAGTGATAAAGGGCCATATTAGGGGAGAGAAGGCTGGTTCTTGGTTCTTGAGGATTTAAAAAGATGGACATATATGAGGAGTTTTGTAAAGTGTTCTTTCTGGAGCTAACCTTACTTGTTTTTCAGCTGCGTACAGGTGCCACCGACCGGAGAGCATCAGGAAAAAGGAGAAGAATTGGAACTGAAGGATGATGACGAAAATCGCAATAAACAGGACGAGAAATTGCTCAAGGAAAAGGAAAAAGACGAAAACCAAGAAACCAAACATGAAAATGGTACGTCGAGGGAAGCCGTCGCGATTGACCCTGATGCGATAGAGCTAATGAAGCCAACAGATGATTAGGAATATCGATAGGACATTTATAGGAAGCCAAAAAAAACGCAGGCTAGGCCAACACATCGACAGACGGGCAGACGGACAGACAGACAGACTGACAGACAGACAATTAACAGAACGATGACACGAAATAGATCATGCTTTGTAGGTTTTACATTGTGTAATAAAATCCAGGGGCTTATAACCTTCAATAGAGCTTCGATGGCATCATCGATAACAATTTTCAGGTTTTTTATCGCTATATTAATATTTTTTTTCGATAAGTAGGTTAGGATATGGCAGCCACAAGCTGATGTGATTCAGGAATTAAGACTCTTAAGACATAGTTTGAGGACAAACAACTGAATCTTGTAGCGGGGAATAATTGGGGCGACGTAAAACGTTCGAAGAATAGTTTTAAGAAGCATTTATTGACAAAGCTTTCTAGTTAGAATAATACGCATGCACGGCACAGACACAAAAGCATTGTACTCAGCGTTTATTGGACATGATACACTTAGCCAAACAAACTTTTTATGCAATGTAAATATCAGAAGAAGAGGAACACATTCTCCGAGGGACTGGTTATTACTTTACGCCTTACGGAGGGGAGGGAGAGGAAGGCGAAGGATTTTGGTTTCGTCAAGATAAAATTTACCTGTTCCTCCCGTAAGTTTCTGTAATATTCATTCGACAACTCCCCTCGCCCCTCATTTGCATTTTATTAGCAGTCCATTTTTCAAATTCGCCCTTTATATTCTGTTTGCGACTGCTGATCACCTCCTAGATCCCCCTGAAAACCTCCCCCCCCCAAAAAAGAACTTCAACCCCCCCCCCTCTCCTCCCCCTTCCAGGCGATGAAGATCGAGGCATTTCAAATCGACAGCTTTATAGGACAAAATCCTTGTTATTTACATTTTGTGAAAAAAAAATTTTGTCAGCTTTTTATCCTTTTTAGGTAATAAAAATGTAGCTCTATTTTCTGATTCACGATGCATGACTTCGAGGGGTTGTCTACTCCTGCCCTTGTAATCATTATGCGAAAAAAATTCCGCGACGGCAAATCACTTTGGGCTGAGGGCCACAAGAACAACCATTATAAGGAGCCTTTAATATCTGGTGATCAACTTCGCACAGGGCCAATTCTCACGCGATGTGAACTAGAGATTTTTTTCGATCGCTCGTGTAAACAAATGGCGAAAAATTACTTGGCCTAGGGACCAGTCAAAATTTATTACAATAGGGGGGGGGGAGGGGGCAGGAAGAACAGAGGGGGGGGGGGCAGTCGTCACCGACAGAGTTTAAGGGGGAAACTATAGAAAATTGACTGCTTAAGAGGAGGCAGGCATAATTTAACAAAATGCAAACCCTTTTTTTTTTGGATTGTCAAGCCCTGATTTGATATTCTGATTGAGGTTGAGCATCGTACATTTACGTGGGAAGACTGACTTCAACTGTTGTTGTTGTCTTTTCTTTGTTTGTGCCATTGCTTGACCACATGTTCGTAAAAGCAAAGGCATAAAATAAACTTAGTTCAACTTCTTAGCATTTTTCCCTTCTTGTCACGCAACGCATATCTCGCCTAAGGAGGAAGGGTTTGTTGGGTGACCAGGCCAACATCGACTGCGAAGGAGACTAGTAAATCCACTCTCAATTGTTAATCTAAAGAAGGAGCGTAAAATTTAGCGAGCTTAATTAAAAAACCATCGTTCGGAAACAGCTAAGTTAGGTGTTGGACTGCTTGAAGTCTTCCAAAGGACAACGGTTTAACATTCTTCCTCACTAGGAGAGGGAGGGGTCACAGTAATGAATCTTCACGTCACGAAGCTGGCACTGTGCGTCATAACCCGCGAGTAAGTGTCCGTCACTGAGTGGAGTGCAGCGGCTGCAGTTGACAGGAAAAACTTCATTATTCAGTTGTGCTCGGGCAAGGTAACCCACTTGCTATTTTTTTAGCCAATTTTCCTTTTCGTGAACAAACGGTGCAAAGCGCGACGCTGGATATCTGATATGACCGGAGAGATATTCACTGAGCCAGATCGAGTTAGACAAAGATCAGCGTTTCCGAGATGTTTGCCATTCACTTTCAATGCATCTTCAATATTTTGTTTTGCACTGTAAAAGCGATGAGATGCTGCTCAGGTGATAGCTATATAGATGGTTTACAGCAAAACAAGCTAATTTTGTATGCTACAAATACCATATACATGTCACGCTGGATTAGGTTGGCTTGTTGAGATGTCAAACAGAGTCATTCTTTAACCGGGGTCACACAGGCAAAATTAAACACTTAATCACCCAAAGGGAACAATAAATGCAACTGATTTCAGTTCCCCCAGTGCTTAGAATTTAAGCAAGCCAAATTATTGACAAAGAATCTAGATGGAGTTTATTTTTGTGACCTGTTATTGGAAATGTTAGGTTTTTGTATAGTTGTTGTTTCTCTTAACAAATTCAAAATTCTTTTCCTCGTGGAAAAATCAGGTTGAACGGAAAAATGTCGAGATAAACTTATTGGACGTTAGAACCTTTGCAAGTGGCGAAAATTTTCCACTCAAAGACACGCTTGTACTTAAGTAATGTCGCAGCCATATGCCCAGACGCGTGCCTGTATGACCTTAGGTGACGTCACTAGAAGTAACAACAATAATCTGAATCATACGTACCAGTTTAGGAGTTGTAATATGCAGTGCTCCTGATAACTGGCAATTTAAGTGGAGTATATAAGGAAAATTTTTGTTCGTTTTTTCACAAGCGTAACACAAAGAAAAAACCAGACTGTTCCAAGAGATTCGTAATTCGTGATTCGTATGTCAAGCTCGATCTTTAGGATTAACTAAAAATTGTTATTCGTTTGTCACACGAGCGAGGGTCAATGACAAAGTCAAGGACGTAACTGTTGTTTTCGGAAGGATGTTTGCTTACATGTGTTTCGATAGAGAAAGGGTTTTCAACCGATAAAAAGTGTAAACATTATAGGCAGCAATACAAGTGAACGCAGAAATAAATTTCCCAGTTTTTTTCTCAGTTCAGAGCCTCGATCCCCTTAAAAGGAACAAGACTTCATCCTGCCAAAGTCAAAAGTTTTCCCACTACATGAGTCCTTTACACTACTGTATGGGCTTTTAGACCTGTTTTGCGACCAACAGGTTGCGGTCACACACGTGAAAACACTATTGGTGGAGCTTTCAATTCCTCTTCTGATTCTCTCTATCAGATGTTCTCAACCATTGTCATCCAGTTTCTAAAGAAATATTTTACGGTGGAACTCGTAATATTTTTCTACTTCTACGGGTTTCTTATGAACCTGCCAGTCCTGACAATTTACGTGTACGAGCGAATCAGTGATGAGAAAGGATTTCCGTACAAGAACCTCAGCCAAAGCGATGACGGAAGCGGCTGCGGAGGAGAAGGCCTGGGGCAAAATTCAACATTGGGGGAACTGGAAAATGAGGTCACTCATTTATTCACGTTGTTGTTGTCATGGATACTGTCCTTCGATGTAGTGACGTGTTGTCGTTGTAGTATGACTAGTATGACCTAATAGAACTGATTTTCTCACTGTTTTATGATTAAGTAACTGAGTCTATCTAAGGCAGTACGTTAAGTATGATTAGTTCCGTCTTTCTCGAAAATTACTCTCCCAGGAATTAATTTTTCTTTTAATTCATGTCGGTTTTTGGCATCACTGTGTCATGCTGATTCTCATCTTATTCTCTAATTCCTCTTAAAGATTGGTTAAGTGGCTTGGATTAGCATTCCACAGAGATGGAGCGGCCTTGCTCAATGTCTTTTGACGCTGAAGAAACCAGATACTTTCCGATATATAACAGTGTGCCATCAGTCTCGTAAAACAAAGGCTCCTCATCCCTTGTTTCATTTCAGGTGCAAACTCTGGCTTCCCAGCTTGGCATGACTTACAATCTTGTCCTAACCCTGCTCTCCCTTGTTGTGGCGCCGCTCTGGGGACCGTGGACTGATAATGGCGGCAGAAGAAAACCTGCCTTGCTTGTTGCCATATTGGGGGCGTGTCTGGAGATGGTCATTACCCTGTTGGTAATGTATTTTGACTGGTCAGTGTACGTTTTGATTGTGGGCGCGGCTTTGAACGGCTTGTCGGGATTTGCGACAGTTTTGTTCGTCGGAGCAACGGCATACATAGCTGACGTTTCCAGCAAAGAAGAAAGAGCTTTTCGGATTGGTGAGTATAATGAGAAATTGACCGTTGACTTATCGTTAGAGAGGTTTTAGATTGTGTAACGTAAAAACCAAACCAAAGGAATTTCAATAGCAAATCAAATGAAAGGATTATTAAATGGAGCACAGGAGAACTCAAAGCGGACATACGCTTATTAACAACCGATAACTGCTAACCAGGTGAGCTTAATGTGTCATTACGTTGTGCAAGATAATTGCTTTGTTTTTCTTTCCTAACGTTCCAGCGGTGATGTACATGCACGTATTCCTCGCTGGAGTCATCAGTCAACTGACCAGCGGTCTTTGGATTCAAAATGTGGGATTCATTCCTTCTGCTTGGTTCATGTTGGCTTGCTACGTTCTCTCTGGAGTTTGGGCTCTATTCTGCGTGCGGGAAATTCCCCGAGGAAACAGCAACGAAAAAATGGTTGGATTTTTCAGCATTGATAATATAAAATGTTTTATCAATGTCTTCCGAAAGCAGAGAAAGGCTGGACGAAATAATTTTCTCTTGCTGATGGTTTGCGAAGGCGTGATTTTCCTATCGACCTTGGGCATTGCTGGCGTAAAAGGGTTGTTTATTCTGAGAAGTCCTCTTTGTTGGGGCCCACACCTGGTTGGGTATTATTTTGCATTTGAAGGGTTCGTTCATGGTATTGGAAGCGTGGTTGGCATTCACTGCTTCGGACGCTGCTTGAAAGAGTTGAGTGTCGTCCGCATTAGTTTGGTTTCCGTGATTCTGGCTTTGGTTATGTTGGCGTTCTCCGATCGTACTTGGATGGTGTTTGTTGGTAAGTATTAAAGTAAAGAGAAGGAAGAGGAGGATCAGATGATCTACCTTGGACCTCCCGTCTCACGACTGAGGCCCCACATCTTTACACCATCAGTAAATAAGGGACCAGTCTTGGGAGAATCTTTTGGGGGCGTCATGTGGGTGGTCTCAGTGGAAATGGAGGGGGGAGCAGTCGTCCCTGACAGAGTTTAAAGGGGGACTATAGAAAATTTATTGCCAACGACAGGGGATCCCTGGAATACTACAAAGCCTTATGGGGGTTCCGGGTTAATTTTATTGTATCAAAACCAAATATTCCCCCCTCTGACCCTCCCTCTAAGTACTAAAAAGACTGCTTCTCTTTGTTGCTTCCAGCGGTGGTGGTCGGTGTCTTCTACGGAGTAGCTGATCCAGTTTTGGTGGGAGCAATGTCGAGAATAGTGTCAGATGAAGAGCAAGGTACAGCCAACAATTAAGAAATCAAAATATATTTAAACCTTTTCCAGGAGTATTAGGCAGAGTCAAAACCTGAGGCTTTTCATGCAGGATTTGAACCTCAGACATTCCGTTTTCGCAGTTAATTATTTACAGTATCTCTTTGGTAATGCTCCAATGAAATATGCATGCATAATCTATCGCAGATGTATGGGCATGTGATCATTCTGTTCGAATGGCCCTTAGCCAGAATTGCCTCGATACGCAAAGTCTAATGACCAAGTTTTTCGATACTTACCAGTTTTTTTCCTGTTCTGTTCATGTTCCAGGTGCCATGTTTTCTGCTTATGAGATGGTCATTGCATTGATGCAGCTAATAGGTGCCGTGCTCTTCAACACAGTTTACCAGGCAACGCTTTCTCTTTCGTTTCAAGGTCTGGTCTTCCTGTTGTGTGCAGTGTTGATCCTTATTCCCTTTGTTCTCGTGAGGTAAGTGTGGTTGCTGACTATCTCAACGCTACGTTATGCCACATGGTCCTTCTAAGTTCACGGTTCAACTTAACTCAGGGTCCAGTCTACATCTATCCCCCGGAGGGTAGGAGGGGGAGAAGAAGGGGTAGGGGGGTCGAAGGATCTTGGTTGTGCCACACTAAAGTTTACCTGAGTATTCTGATAATTCCTCCTAGTTAGCAGTCAGTTTCCTATAGCTACTCCTTTAAACTTTAGTAGAGACGACTGATTTCACCTCCGTTACTCCTGAAAACCACGTGATCATCCCAATTTGTATCTGTGAACGCCCTCAAACGGATGCTTTCTGTGAGTTCACTCAAACGTTCATTTACCACACAAACAAAACGTAATTAGATAATGGCGTTAGCCATAACTGTTCCGTTTACACTTGACGTTAGCTTAGCTCGTGGACGGTTTTAAAAACACGCTCAAACTTTCTGTCCCTTTCCAAACGCAAACTTACATGGGCGCTGTGACAGGAGGGTAACATTTCGACTTTGTGAAAGAACTCGACGCTTACCGTTTTTTCTTTTTACAATATTAGTTTCATAGAACTGCCACCTATCGAGGAAGACGACAAGGTGAAAGAAGATGACGAGTTAGAGATGAAACAGGTCCAACATGCATCCGGGGAGTAGTACAAACAATTGCCTTAAGAGCCGTAAGGGGGTAAATTGTTATCGTGACGCAACCAAAAATCCTCCTAACCCTCCCAGGCAATAAGTGGATATGCATAAATTAAGATAATAAAAATGAGTTATTTAGGCTTAGTAGTTTGATGGAAAAAATTTATCATGCGCAACGCGTTTGAGCACCAGGCGTTCCTTTTAATATTATAATATCTATGATCAATAAAGTGATTAGATAAATTATACTGCAAATGTATAATGTCAACTGTAAATAAATATATATTTACTTATCAGCTGTCGCGTTTCTGTTTGCCACTCGTTTATCGCTTAAACCCGTAAGAGTGACTAACATCTAATTTCACGAGAAGGTGACTATAATAAAGAAAGTGATCACCAAATAACAAACGGCTCATGATCGTAAAAAAAGTTTTCTCTGTTAGCACCTTAGCTAATGTATAGGGGAATAGCATGGAGAAAATTTAAAAAATCATCGGTTAAGTGGTGTTTGGTGGTTTTTCGTTTCGTCATTTGAGTATTACTTAGTCCATCGCTTTAATGTTAAGGAAAATCGGTGAAATTCGTTTACGCAGAGCTTCGATCAAGTTTTCATCCTGCTTTCAGTTTTTTCGATGTGTTCCGAAAAAATGCACCCAGCGATTATTAGAACTGGCTTTCAGCCAAACTCAGGGCTTGTCCACACGTGTCCGTTTTGATTGATAGCGTCACGAACGGTGTTCGACTCAATCTGCCCTGCGCGCGAGATAAGACGAAATTAGCATAGCGGATATTGCTTTTGTTTCACTGCCACTTGGGCTTCATGCAAGCATTATGGCATGTTTTCAGTTGAATTTTTGCGATGTTCAATGTTTAAGGCGATTATATTTATGCAAGGGGCGACGCAACATAATAGGGCTTATTTCCTTGCCAGTTCTGGGTTAGTGTGAGGACATCAAACAATTAAATCGTAGAAGTCGAGAACGGCCTAGCCGATCAGGATGCACGGGTGAGCGATGGGGCAACCTTGTAAACCAAATAGTCATTTCAGAAGAGTGGATGGAGGATTTTACAATGAGTCGTGGCTATATCTACAATTTAGTGGACGATACGATTGAATACGCCAACTTTATCAATGATGATACTTTTTTTATCGAATTCATTGCCGGTTACGCTTTCCCATGGACGGGAAAAAGCGATTTAAAAGCACAACGTGTAGACGCTTAGTTTATCGTTTTCCATTAAAAACATGAACAACGGTTACGTCTGGAAGGGGCCAACCTTCTCTTCTGACGGCACTAACAGTGTCGATTTCACATCTGGATTTGGGTATGTTGCAAGTCCCAAAAAAACTAGAGAATATTAGTTAGTGAAAGCATTGCGTAATTTATCGAAAGAAGCCGCATTTCCATAAATGGTTCTGAAAAAAAGCTGAACATGTGAGGCATGCCGTTTGTTCGTTTGACAGGTAGATACACCAATGAGAGCTGTAACTGAGGCTTTGATGATAGAGACGTTTTAAAAAGACATAAATAACACATTGACTTTACTATGCCTCTTAGAGCTTTTAAATTTTGATTTATCATTGAAAGGGAATGAACCTGCCTGAATTATGAAAAACGAAAAAGAGAGTGTGCAAGAATATCAGGAAAGTGAAACTGATCAAAGACCAGCGCAAACCAAACGTTTTCCGGCTTTTGGCCACGTTGAAAATTTCACAACAAAACATGCGAAACACTCGGTGAATAACACATGTTATCATTTGTCAACAGCTTATCTTCGTCTTATATAATATACTAACTACATAATGATTTTTCTAGTGTTTGGAATGCACTTACCCGGTTTTCAACCAATGTTAGAGCTCAAAGCATGAACACGTGACGTATAAACGTAATTGTATTACGTAACGGCGTCAACAAACATGTTTTGATTTTCATATCATCACAATAGGGTCATTAGAGGCAACGATATTTTTATACGAGGTACCGGCACTGAGCCATTAAGAGACATATTAATGCTGTAGCAGCAACACTCGGTGAATGCACCGCCGGAAAGATCATAGCTATAGTTATTGATTAGAATACCGAGGAAGAAGTTTCTGGGAGACTATTGAAGCTGTAAGTTTTTAACAACATTGCAATTATTTTCTGCATCTTAATTCTCTCTTGTCACATTAACCGTCTTGTCAACCTTTGTGACGAAACAATTTTCAACTCGAAGCGACGTCCAATGCAAAGACACAACTGATAAGTTCAAAGCATTTCAGCTGAGAAGCACTCTTCTGAACTGCCATTTTTCCAATTCACATCAATTGTATTAGTTACTTTGTGCAAGACGACCGAGTGCCATCTCTGACGGACGGTGGAACAAGAAATGGGACAGAGAAAGATTGGAACTCCTTCCAGCAGCTTGGAGAAAATTAACGTTGTGGTGATGGGCAAAGATGATGTCGGAAAATCTGGTTAGAATGATTATTATGAACAAGTTGTCATTGCTCAGTGCATTATGGTCTTAAGGCAAAACGGTAGAGCCCGAGTTCGCCTTTACGCCCTTTTTAGCAATTCAGTTCCTAAAAAATCGTTCTTTTAAGGTGTGTTCATGGATTTTATCAGTACATCAGTTTGTTGGACAGTCTCTGTAAAGGCCTTTACTCTCTGCAAAAGTTGATCAATGTATTTCGACTCAGCGGCTGCCTTCGGAGGTCAAGCCCGGAAAGGGATAAAACCCTGTTTAGTAAAATTTAGGAGATATCCACCTTTTCCATTATAAAATCTATGGGAACACATGCAGACATGACTATACAAAACGTGTACTGGTTCACAAGAAGTTTGCCTGCATGGAGCTTGCTAAGAAGGACCTTAACACACTCGAAAACTACACTATTGTCGATTGCGATGTTTTTGTAAGGATGCCAATCTAAACAATTTCAACAAATATGTTGTTTTTGCAAACAGGCGCCTAGCGCTGTACGACTGTACAGTTTGATTTGTTGCGTTCGCTGCTGGTGTTGTATGCCCAAACCTTTTGACTTCTTTGCCCGTTCTCTTGCAGCTATGACGGTTCGCCTTCTCACTAAAAGATTCATCGGCGAATATGACAGCTCTCTTGGTAAGTTTCAATGTAAAAATGCAGCCTGCGTCGGTGAAAGCTAATTGGGTTAATCGCATCTGTCAAATTACATTAGCTGGGCTCTTAGCTGACTTAGCGCGCCTCTTGCTGCGACGGCAAATATCAAATCATATCATGCAAATATCTTCTTGGTCTAGAATTTAAACGGATTTATCGCCTAAAAAGGTCTCTTGTGTGTTTTTTAATCTTGTTGTTAAATTGTTTTAAGGTTTTAAATGGTACTGGTACTTGTCAAAATAAGATATGCATTATCAATTTTTTAGCTTCGGGAAACTACAATATTTAAAAGCCGGTTTCCCCTTTAAGCAGCTCAAGGAAACAATTCTTGATTTGTTTCTCTTTAAACTATAAGGGCATTTCTTTTCGTCTAACGTTTTTCATTTTGCTCTCCTGCCCTTATTTTCAAAAGAACATGAAATGGCCAACGCAGGCTGTTTCAGATTATATTTCCCGTGAAGTTATGATTAGGACGTAGAGTTATTTATTTGAATGTTGGAGTTGAATAAGGCAAGACAAAAGCGGCTTTTAAGTCAAAAATGATAACTGATACCGTGAAAGAACACTAGGTGTTTTTTCACGTAAAATTTATTGTTTTTCTGAAAAATTAAGGGCAAAGATATCGCTGTCGTAATGTGGTCTGCCAAATAACATGCTATTCTGCAAGGAGACGTTAAGTCTTTCTCTGCCTTTGTTTTGGTCATGAATGCGTGCCATTAACTCTCAGTGAAGAGTTTGGCTTTCAAAGAATGAGCCCATACGTGGAACAGATGGTTTCTACTTAGGAAGATAACGTTGACTAATAAAGATTGCGTTTCTTTGTTTTTTTACTTAGTTACAATCGAAAAAAATTCTCACAAAAAAGGGCGTGTGGATGATAAAAGTATGACCGCAGACAGCCCTTCATCAGATTAGTACGCGAATGGTATTACAGCTCTAAGCTTTTTATAAAGAAATGATCGCATACCATCCCATTAAAAGTTACTTCAAAATTTTCATTAAGGAGTAGAGAAAGAGAAAGGAAACAAAACACATAACAAAATGTACACTGGCGTTCGATTATTTTATGAAAAGCACGAGGCAGCGCCGTGGATTGCAAACACTGCGAAGCGGTAAACGGTGAACAGATTTTGAGAGCATGCGGTGCCTCAGCGAGAAGAAGTTCGCTCACGTTAGGAGGCGGGTCATTTCGTGATGATTGCCTTTTTCCTGAATGAATTTCGAGTTACGTCATTCAATTACGAAATAATTGCAAATTATAATTGTTACAATGACACTGAAGTAATGACGTTCATCTGGATAAAAATGGGCATAAAACTTTAAAGCTTAAAATCCCACTCTTTCAAATACACGATTACCACTAAGCTCCAACGCTCTAAAAGGAAGAAGTTTGGTTAAGCCACGATGAAATCTGTCTGATCTCTCCATAAGGCCCCTTCTCTTATTTCGCTGATCGTGAGTCGCCGCTTCGCCAACTGACTCGTTTCCCATGGCTTTGCCGGTAATTACAAAATGCCAGGCTAGCGGGCTAGCTTCCCTCTGAAATTGAAAATTTAGATTTGTCCTTCTCTCTCTTTGGTTTTTAATTTCAGAGTCAATCTATCGGCATTACTTTAAGCTAGAAGAGAACTTCATTGCATTGGACATCATGGACACAGCCGGCAAGGTGAAACATTTATGAAACCTGTGTATGACAAGGAAAAAAAGGAAAAGAAATGGAATTTATTGTACTGTCACTGCTCGAATATTATTTATTTTCATTTGGTTTGTCAGCCACAAAAAGACTTGATAGCCACAAATTTATTCTCAAAACAGGCATAAAAATGAATACTTTAAGTTTTCAGCAATCTTGTTCCCAGGGTTCTCTCTTACTCGTTCCCAGGGTTTCTTTTGTACTCGTTCTCGGGAGAGTAACCCGAGAACGAAATTGGTTTTTGAGCAGAGGCAAACGCAAGTTAAGTCACCTTTCACATTCGCTTCGTGCTTACCACTGGTGAACTGTTACAAGTTAAATTAAAAAAGCACCAAAAATAAAAACAAAAGAAACCTCAAAGAAGTAACAATTGAAAGCTGCCTTTTGTAAGGATTACAATATTTCAAGAAAGCTAGTATGAAAGCCATTATAATTACAAACTGAAGAAAGACTCTTATCTTCCAGTCGTCATGATTTTACGTCTGAAATTACCGCATAACTACTCTCCGTGTTTCGCTAAGTGTTTAATACAACAACAGTCATGTGATTTGTTCTCTGGATTTTGAATAAGCTTTTAAAATTGACGCCATCAATGATGGGTAAAAAAAAGGTCATTTATATCAATAATCGTAATGAATAAAATAATGTTTTATATTGATAATAATCGCATTTACAGAATACTGAAGAGAAGCTGAGTCAGTGCTCATCCTTCGGAAACATGTTTTTGTTGCTGTTCTCCATCACCGACAGATCATCTCTAAAAGAAATCCATCGACTCGGTCATTATTTGAAGACAACGAAAACGAGCGGCGCGTACAGCATTAGTGTTGTCGGAACAAAACGAGACTTGTCGGAATACCGAAAGGTTTCCGAAGATGAGGGGAGGACACTCGCCAATGAGCTCGGAGGAACCTATCACGAGATCTCCAGCGCTGAAGGATACGAAGAAACACTGAAACTGTTTCAAGATGCGATCAAAGTGCATCTGCAGTCGCGGTACACCGATCGAGACCGGCAAAAGAGGGGACTGGGGCTAAGGAAACTCAGGGAGGGCCTCCTTATGCGAACCAAGTCACTTTACAGAAAACGAGGCCTGACCTTTTAGGTAGACCTACCGGGTGGTGACCACAGGCGCCTTTGATATGAATGTTTTTTATGTCAGTGTAAATAGCTAAATTGTAAAGCTTGAAGTTGTAAGTAAATTATGTAGTTAGGTAATACTGTCATAACAAAAACACATATTATGAAAAACGTAAAGGTGCAGTTACTATCGTTTCCAGAAAATCGATTTATCTAGAAAGCATGACTTGAATATAACATTTTATTTACTAATATTAAAATACCATTCATTTCCAAGAAATGTGATCAGTGGATATACCATGGGAATTTTATTTTATTTTACATGTAAAAGAATCGTATTAAACAGCTAAAATTACAGTCATTGATAAGTTTCTTTTGGTATCTTCAGCTAATCCCACTACTGGATCATCAAAATTTCGGCTTAAAATAAGCTATCGACTTGCTGTTATTGGATTCCTCTTGAAGTTTCGTCCTCCCTCTTAATCTGCGTTTCTGTGTCGTGTGACAATTTTTGATGCCCTCACGGCCTTGGCTTTGCCTCTTTAAATTTCATTCAAGGAGTACTTTTAAAAACTTGCCGTCGATACAACTGAATTTCGATGGCAATCTCCATCTTGGGATAAATCTTCATGACTGGAAGATTTAGGCTTAGAAGCCTCGTGGATACGATCAGCATCGCTGAATGACCTGGGTCTCAACCCCTGCAACCTCTCGCGCTGGGCCTTAGCCACTTCGTGGCCAAGTGATCTCTTTCGGAATGACTTCGCCGTTTCTACAATCCCTTCTTTTACTCTTGACAACGTCGAAGCTTTACTTTTGTCGAAGCAACGTTTTACTGAATCAAATAGCAGCTCTTGTGTCTCCAAATAACCCTCTGCACTGGACACCTGATAAAATCCGCAGCCTAATTCTTCGGCCAACAACCTTCCTTCTTGTTCTTCGACTTCTTGGGCGAACTCGAGGTCGGCCTTTGTTCCCACTATCATTATGGTGGGGCCGGCAGGACCCAGAGGTTTTCCTTGTAGGATGTAGCGAGCCAGAAGTGATGCTTCTTCAAAGGAGGTGCGATCAGTTGTCGAGTAGACAACAAAGAAGAGCTCCGCGAAAGACATACACATTTGCATCTTTTCCGTGGAATTCTATGAAAAATCGAATTCAATTAGGTTAATATCCTAGAAGATAAACAACCCATCGGAAAGGTTTGAAAATAATTATTAGTGCTGGGTCTATTTCAAAGAAATGATCTTTAATAGGTAAAGGATCCTCCAAAAGAATCAGTCTGTCAGCCATAGCCGATTTTCATTCAGTTTTTCTAGCCAAGCTTACACGAATGGCGAAGAAGCGGTGAATAGCGAGAAGGACCTTTGAAAAAGAGATGATTAATCGGTTCTCATTTCCCCTTGTGCGCCATTGATTTTTCAGATTTCTGGGCGCCACACAAGACCTGATAATGTTTTAGTGAACAGTCATTATTTAACACCGTGAAGGGGGGGGGGGGGGGGGGG